TTGCCATGTCCCAGCCAGGACCTCCTGAGCCCTTGCCCATGGACTAAGGACCTTCTGTGACCCCAATTCTAAGCTAAATATACAACTTGTCACCATCTCTCTTGCCCTGTGTTTCTTTTGTTTCTTTTCCTTTTCTGATTCTCTACTATCATCCTCCATCCCAGACATTTTTTTTTTTATTAAGATAGGGTCTTGCTGTGTTGCCTGGCTGACCTTGAACTTGAAGTCCTTCGACTCCCCACCCAACCCCCGCCTCCTGAGTTCTGGGATTATAGCATGGACTACCATATGCACCCACTTTCCAGTCACCATCTTGCTATACCCTCTCCCCTCAAGCACCCTCAAGGGTTACCTGCTGAGAGATGGCAAAGCCGATGACAACCTCATCCTCCAGGACATCCCAGCTGACTACTGCAGAGTTGGCCTTGAGGTGCCTGACGGTGACGTTCACGGGGGCCGAGGGGCTGTCTGCAGGGCAGGGAGGCACCTGAGCCTGAGTATGCGCGGCTGTGAGGCCCGGCCCCACCATATATGAGACAGAGAAAGCTGGGGGAGGCTATGTGGAGAGGGGAAGGGACCCAAGGCTTCTGCTGGACCACATGGTTCTCAGTTCCTCAGTGGTTGAGAGTCCCCAGGCTCTTTGTGGGCATAGAAACTCCTGCTGGCTATAGACTGGTCAAACCAAGGGTCCTAAAATAAATTTGATGAGCCCTGGGCTTGAACCAGGGCAAGAGCTAGTGGATAGATGGTTAGGCATGGAGGGGGGATAGCTGAATTGGAGTTGCAGGAGCTGATTAGTCTGAGAGAAGGACTTCTAGTCCACTGCTCTCTCTATAGCCTCACGATGTCAAGTGAGTGACCTTGAGGGAAGGAGACAGACCCCGAAATGAAGAGCCAGGAGGGGCTGTGTCCTGGCACGGGAATGAGGGGCAACCTCACATGGTGAGCTGGGCAGAGGACACCCAAGGGAAAGGGTCTATGCGAGCCTCTCCACACTCCGTGGGTCCTCACGTGCTACGGATGAAGGAAGTTAGAGAAGAGGGGGCACTCAGAAAAGGGCCCCTTGGAGGAGAGACACCGAGATAGCGCAAGGCCTTCTGGGTTAAGGAAGAAGACGAATTGGGGGGGGGGGACGTCAGAGATAAGTGGGAGAGCAGCGGGGGAAGCAGGGCAAGAAGGACTTTCCAGGAGAGGGGAGTCACACGGGGCTATGTCTCTCAAGAGGGCAGTGATCAGAAGCCCTGGCCCTGAGCAGTAACACCATACCCCTCAGAAGAGTGGACTCAAGGCCCCAGGATTATGCCAGACATGCAGATGGAAAGGGACAGAAGGACACAGACAGGTGGCTGAGGTCACAGAACCAGAGAGCAGACAAGTGGAGCATTAGAGACAGACGGAGGCGGAAGCAGGGTGAGAAAGAGTGAAGCAGCAGCCACCGCCAGGAGGGACAGGATTGGGGTGATCTGGGGAGGCAGGGCCCCGTGGGGTGGGCCAGACACTGACTGCAGCAGGGTTAGCGCCCCCCACCCCCACACACCCTTCAACCTCAGGTTCCAGTTCTCTTCATAGTCGCTCCTGCACAGTGAGGTGCAGCTGCCTGTGGGTCTCCGAGAGATCTTTGGGGACACAGAGGGAGGCCCAAGGTGGGGCACTAGTGTCCTCAGCTGCTCTCAGGGCCAGAAAAGGTGGCTGAGGCAAAGCCTCAGGGTTAGGGGGTGGCCTGATGGGATCAGGAGACTCGAAAGCTTTAAAAACTCAGGGCTGAGGTGACTGGCAGAGGTTTGGAAGCTGAAGGACGGGTCTAGGGGTCAGGAAGGTTCGGAGGCGCTAGGGTCAGGTTAGGAGAGTAGGGACCAGGTGACACAGGAGGTCCTCAGGGAGCAGGAAGGAAACCGAGGACTCCCCGGTGGCAGCGTGGGAGGGGAAGCTGTCCCCTTCCCCCGTCCCCCGCCCCGGGCCCCCTTACCCGCCTGCACCAGCGCGAAGCAGACGCAGCCCAGCCACAGGCGGAGCGCGGCGCGGGGCGGCCAGGCGCACGGCCCTGGGGGCATGGCGGCTCCTGCGCCCGGTGACCGCTGGCACTCACGCTCCAGCCCGCGGCCCTCCCGGCCCGGCCGCCCCGCGCCGCCCCGCA